ATGTCGTCCCTGGACGACAGTCGCCATAACAACTAAACTTTACTGATTTTGAGCTAGCATCCAAAAAGCGAAAGGTGTAGTATGTTTGTTTCAACAAGTTCCCATTATTGCTTTCAGTCAGCGCGCTACATTAACATACGCATTGATTTTAAAGAGTCAAAGATAAGTTTTTTTGATCGTTTTCTTTTAATAATAACTGTGCGGTGGGGTATTTCAGTATTTGCACGTAGACACATGTTCAAATTACCATTTAATTTACTTTTCTCTTAGCTAACAAGTAATTAACAAAATTATTGCTGATCAAAAAAAGTGGCCCAACTGTACACAGTTTGCACTATCTGCTTATAATGTAAAGGTACCTGTAGAGATTGTAGAAAATATATGTTTTATATGTTATTAAAAATATGTAGCTCATACAATACCAATTACATTATTGTAATTTTTATGAAATAATTAAAAAATATATATTATTCGTGGTAACCTGTTCTAGAAACTACCTCGACTAGCTTGATATCAAGCACTAATGTTATCAGGCTTCCACTTGACAATATATATCTCACAAATAATATAAAGTAGAAATTAAAAAAAAAAAAATTACTCGTTTTACTACTGTATGAATGTAATCTAATCCCCAAAAATTCAAAAACGATTAATATAAAGCTAAAGTTACATAATAGCTAATTTATGCCAAGATACGCAGCAATCTACACATTTTGTACAGCGATAAAAAGTTTTAAAAGCGTTATAACTTACAAAGTTTACCTGACTGAAATGTGGATATGATCACTTCGCGATAACTGATCGTACTTGGAAAATGTTTTATCAGGGTTCGCTTTTTAGAGCCCCATCTGCATTCATGAATAAAATCGCTTAGAAATAAAGGCTTCCCTAAACAATATTGAAAAATTGAGTGATATACGAATTGCTTTCATTTTGATACATTGGAATTTGCATTCAACTGCTTTACTCAAGTAAACATGTTTGACCCATATACTTCTTCGGGAATAGTCTTCATAAAAGAGTATCTGGACAGCAAGCATATTTATTGAATTTGAGAAATAACAAAACAAATTTAAAAAATTAAAAAAAAGGTCATGAATTTTCTTCAGTTGCTAATTTTTTGGTTGTGAGCCTTGTTGTTTAGTATACGAGACCCTAATATAACTTTTAAGTAAACGTTATTTATTTGTTTTATATGATGTATTGTAATATTGTTCATTTTATATAATCTCTGCAATAGCATACATGTGGATCGGGTAAAAAAGACCAACTAACTAAACCTTCACCCTACAAAAACATTAACAGTAAATAAAAATCTAATCTCGGTTAAATAAGGCAATTTTACAAGAAATACATTAAACTAATAGTTATTCCAACTCAGCAAATAAATATTTCTCGAGTAATACCAGATCATAGTTATGTACAATTATCTTTGTTGATTGAATATTGTACCTATTATTTCGTAAAATCTCTTTAAAATTAAAAATAAGACAATGGATTTCTCTAGCTGTCCCGTTTTACCCCCCGTTTTGGAGTAAAAAAGGAAGGATGACAAATTTTTATAAAAATAATAAAACATGCATTTCTATATTAAGGAATTAACTGGAATGTTACTGATCATACATAATACGACAGTTGTTTGTGGAATACTTTGTTTTGTGTAGCGAAGGAAATGCTTTTATGCATCCCAGACTGGTCTTTTGTCTGGGTATGTCTGACTCAATACCTCCGCTTGGCCCTTGCCACTGGTCGCCACGGAAACCGCCGTTAGGAGAAGGATCTAGAATGTTTTCATTCTTTCACTGGAATTATACTTATCTCAAATGAGCGAAGTCCCATTTGATCTTTCTCTTTCCATCGATCGCAGGTCAATTAGCACTTTCCTTTCATTCGCAAATGTGTCTATGGCGTTCCAAGCAGCCTCAGTTCTCAGCATCACTTCTACAACAGTATTTGGTAAAATTCTTCGGCTTTCGAAGAATTACACCAGATACCGTTGAACAAGTGATTTGCGGAATGTGTGTTATGTATGATATGTTACTTTCCATTTACTCCAAATTTAAATCCAATATATTCTCTTAGAATTATATTAGGTGTGCAACTAAGTTTTCGCTGTTTGTCAGTATATGGCTCTGGCAATAATGGTTGGTCGATTTTGACAAATAAAAAACGTCATATACAAGCTTAGACATATGATAAACAAAACTGCTGCGACACATAAGTGATTTCGCTTTTGCATTATATACTTCTGGTGAAAATGTCTAATTTTATGCCAAACAATCGTCATTTGCGGGAAGTGTTGATTTTCTTCTTCCATTCGAAAAAAACGGCAGCTCAAGTGCATCGAGAGCTACGGAAATGCTGCTCTGAACGAGACAACATGCCGTGATAAGTTTCATCGCTTCAAGGATGGTCATTTTGATGTTGACGACTGTTCTCGTGAAGGAGGGCCAAAACCAAACGGATTCGTGCCAAACTCAAGAAGATCTTGCTTCAGAATTAAGAGTTAGTTAAAGATTGCATGCGTTGGGGATGATTCAAAAGCAAGAAACTTGGGTTCCTTGTGAGTTGAAGCCAAGGGACGTTGAGCGTCGTTTATTCGCCTGTGAACAACTGCTCTAGCGAGTAAAGAAGGGATTCTTCATCACATTGTGACAGGTGATAAAAAATGAATACGTTACAGCAATCGAAAGAGAAGAAAATCTCGGCTCGGCCGAAAATTCACTGCGAAGGTTATGCTCTGCATATGGTGGGACCAAGTACTTGGTCGGTACAATACCGACGTCGGTATTGTTCATTATGAACTGTTGAAACTGAGAGAAACCATCACTGGAGAACTGTATCGAACTCAATTGATGCAATTTAGCCGAGCACTGCGCGAAAAATGGCCACTATACGAGTAGAGTGATTTTACTGCATGACAACGCTCGGCCTCACGTTTCCAAGCCTGTTAAAACCTACTTGGGAACGCTCAAATGGCAAGTCCTACCCCATCCGCTATATTCCCCTGATATTGCACTATCCGATTTTTACTTGTTCAGTTCGATGGCACATGGCCTGGCTGATCAGCAGTTCAACATATATGAAGACATCAGAAAATTACTTGAGTCGTAGATAGCCTCAAAAGATGACCACTTCTGGCGTCAAGGTATTCGAGCTCTGCCAGAAAGATGGGCAAAAGATGTGTCTTGCGATGGGCAATAGTTTGAATGAATCAGATGTAATATATAGTTTTTTTATAATAAAGATACATTTTTATCAAGAAGCAGCGAGAACTTAGTTGCGCACCTAATATAAAACGCAATTTACCTTCAAGCAAGTTGCATGAACTGCCCGGCATGTGTAATTATTCGACTTAGTCAATAAGAATTGAGATTTAGTCACTTATATTGATTATTCTTGATTTTAATGAAATATTTTGATTAAACTAGTTAGCAGGCCTATAAAAATGTTCCTTCAAACCATAAACCTTATCTCTATATATAATTAAATTTTACAAAACAATTAATTACAAAGAAACGATCCGGTTCGGCAATTGTAGTTTACAGATATTTGAATATCATTCTAGAATTTACATATTAGGAAAGACTTTCTAGTTTCATTGGAGATGTTTTTAATGCAAATAAAACTAGCTGTAAGTGGAATTCTGTCTTAAGGCAATTAGAGCATCGTGCCTTAAGGCAAATTGCTGGAACTTCCCGTACCGCAATTCAAGATTCAAGTAATTAAAAATAATCAAAAATAATAATCAATAAAAGTTCAATTCAATGATTTGAAACTTTTAATAGAATTTCGAACCATATTAAATCATTCTATCTTAAATCATTTATTCTGAACTTTTTTTCAAAGCAACCGTACTGCTTTAACTACATAAAGACGAAATATCAAAGCGCGTAAGTGCCGCGTCGCCGTCTAACGGATAAACATTGGTACGGAACCCATAGGAATGTAAACAAAATTTATACTTATTGTTAAAATCTCTATAAAATATCTGATAATTTGATGTTCATATGTCTAATGTTCATTTTTGACCGCAAAATTTTTTACATTCTCCTGATATCTCCAAAGTCGTTGGACCTGCCTTTCCAAAAATTTGAACAGTTCATTTAGTCAGTACAAATAAAATGTTTTGTGAATTATTCAAATCGGACGCTCCGTTCTCTTAAAAACAGTTACCGTTTTCGGCACTTTTTGCCCCGTATCTTCGGAACGGCTAGACCTGCCTCTGCCAAAAACTAATCAGCACGTCTCCTTATCAATACGAATCGAATGTTTTTTGAATTATTCAAATCGGTTGATCCGTGTTTCCAAAATCGTCGACGAAAATTTGTATCCGCACACACACACATGAACACACACACATACACACACACACACATACATCCACCCGTTCTAAGGTATGCCAAAATACTCAGAAACCTTTGAAACGTAAAGATATATAAAAATTTTCATTTTCGATTTTTTTGCGATTACTATAACTTGCCCAAAGGGAAGTTAAAAAGCAACAACAGATAAACTAGGTTTTTAGGAATAGTATGTGAATATTTAATTCAGTTTTCAAAAATAATTACAATTTTGAATTTGCGCCTGTTCTCGCGCCGCAAAGTATGAAATTTTATTAGCACATGGCGCCTAATAGATGGCATCACATGAACCTAAAATTCTGACATTGTTGACAAATCTGAATGACGTTTGAGGCAAACAAACTGAATGAAAACTATACAATAAATAAGTTTGAATATCAAATAACCAATTAGAGATTAATTCAAGAATTAATTAAAACAAATTAAATAAACGATAATAAGCTTGCATTAAATATTGGATTTTAAAGAAAATAGGTTATGTGCACAGTGTAAAGCTAAATAATTATAATTTGAATAATATTTAGCTTATAAACAAAACATACAATATTAACAGTAAATTTGGATTATGAAGCTTCCAACAGGTACTATTCGAAATCAGTGTTTTGAGAAAAACTTTAATTTCTTTAAACAATTTTAAACATGCTTGAAATATTTAAAATATACCAAGTGAAACATTTGACATATAATAGTACTATTAAATTTGACATGTAGCTTTTATTGGAATACTAATTAGCTTTAAATAATATTTGGTAAAACTACAAGTGAAAAATGGATGTGTACAAGACATTTTGCCGATTATGTGCTGGCGAAGATTCGTCCAATATAAAAATTGACAATGAATTGAAAGAATACATACAGAAATATCTACGGTTATATGTAAGCTATGTTTGATTTGTATATTTATTATAAAACTATATATATATATATATATATTTATGTAGTATTTTTAATCAATTTCAAATTGTTTTTAACATTTGCCACCAGATCATTTTAATAAAGTATATTTGAACATGCTCAAACACGCGCGTACAACTCATAAATAAAAATAAATATTTTGGAAATGTTGAAATCACATCTACATATATATAGTAGTCTGCGCGAAGGCAGGTCCATGGTATGAGAGCACCGCAATTCAATGATTCCCTTTCCCTACCTTGTTTATTATTTCCATTACCATTTTATTACCATTAGTCACTTTTTTAAACGTTTTTCATGTATTTTTCTTTCCAAACATCTGTTTTCAGGCTTCTTCCTGATCCCATGCTTCGCTTTTCAGTTACCTATATTTTCTCTTTTCGCATAAGTCTTCAATCGTCTGCATTCTTCTTCTTTCCATTCCTTTCAGTCCTTCTATTTTACCTTCGACGAGGTCGTATAGGAGACACTCTTTTTGCAGAACGGGTCCGATCCAGTTTCCTCATCTTTTCAGGATCGTGTTCAATAGAGTCCTTTCTTCGCCCCAAGACTTCTTCATTTATTATCTTGTCTGTCCACTTTATCTTCTCCATTCACCTCCAGCAACACTTTCTAAAACTGTCCAGATAGTTCTTGTCGGCCTTTCTCAAAGTCCATGGCTCTGATCCGTATATTGTTTAAAAAAAAACATTTTTTGCAGAGTAAAATACCAAAAACGTTGATTTTTGCGATATTTGTATGGGAGACCTCTAAGGGGAGGTCCCAGGGGGTGAACCATAGACATGGGTGAATCGGCCTTCCAAAGTAAATTGGGGTTTGTTATATATTTGAACGCGATTGGAGCACTATAAATGGGTTAAAAGGGAATTTTTCAAAATTCAATCCTTATCTTTGGGTCAATGCACGGATCAGAATTTATTTCAAAAGTATCGTTTCTTCAGCAAAGTATCTTATTTTGATCCTTAGTATCCGAAAATTATATGTGACTAAGTATCGAATTGCCATTTTTCCACTTTTCCACTTTTCCACTGTATCTCTGAAACCGATACGGCAAACCAATAGCCCTTCTCCAATGTGACTAGTGCGAATCAAATTTTTTTTTCTCTGGCTGACTGATCCGTTTTCGCGAAATCGTGGACAATACCGTATTCAAACATAGTACTGTTCATGTTATCGTGTATATTTATTTTTTCTGGAATATGCTAAAAACTGTGAAAATTATGATCGAACTCTATCAAGGACCGTGCATACTAAAAAGTGACATCATGAAGGAACATGACGGAAGACGATTTGCCCGACTTCGCATACCGGAAACGCTCTGGATCACGCTTATGGTTAACGTTCGAAACACAGTATGAAATTTTATCTGTGTGAAAAACTATAGTAGGCTTCTATAAATAAAATATATTCATAAGGATTTAAAAAAATACGTGGTTAACGCTATAAAATCGTCCTCTATTTAATTCTATTTGGTTGACGACTATGTAAGTGCGGCCATCACTCTTATAAGCATTCAATTGAATTTTTTGGTTTGTTGACGTAGTGCAAATGTAAAATACCTTTTGTAATAAATAATTGTTTTTTGATAGACTTTGTAGTTTTCGTTTGGCATACATTGAAAGATGGAAAATCAAATCAAACATTTTTATCATATTTTGCTCTCTAATTTCTGCGAAGGGGGAAAGGCATCTTAAGTTTACAAAAAGTTATGCGCTGTTCCTGGTGACAAAAAAACGGTACTGTGAGAATTGGTTTGCGAATATTCGTTCTGGTGATTTTTCACTCAAGACAAAAAAATACTCCGGTCGTCCAGTTAAAGTTCCCCAATCCACCCAAGGAGACGTCCATTAATTACGTGATCGTTTTCCAAGGATTTTGGACCCCCACCTACCTTTTGGTGATATGTGGTGGTACTTAAAATCACCCCTCTCCGCCACCAAACATCACGTGTATTTTTGTACCTAATAATTCTATAATTTTAAAAAAGAATGATTTCTTTTAAATTCAGGTAAAAAATAAATACTCGTGAAATCTTACTTACAATTCCAACAAAACGTCGATGCCATATGTAAAGTTTATTGTATATATATATATATTAGGGTGGTCCTTAAAATGGTCATTTTCGAATTTCCTTGCTCCCAGGGTCTCAAATGGCTCCAAATAGATAAAAAACAATTCTCTGAAAGTTTTAGCTCTTAATATTAACGTTTAGATAGAGCGCAATTCAATCAAAGTTTTGTATGGAAATAGCATGAAAAAATTTTCAAAAATTTTTAAAATGTTTTTTACATGTAATTTAGCGAACAAATAAATAAATAAAACCTATTCATTTGTCGCTAAGTTATACTTAAAACATTTTTTTTTAATTTTCAAATTTTTCTCCATGCTCTTTACATACGAAGTTTGATTAAATTGCGCTCTATCTAAACGTTAATATTAAGAGTTTTTTATCAATTTGTAACCATTGGAGCCCCTGGGAGCAAGGAAATTCGAAAATGACCATTTTAAGGACCACCCTAATATATATATATATATATATATATATATATATATATCTGTGTTATTTTAATTTTGACCAGATACAACCCAGTGACTTGTCTCCACAATTTGTATGCAAGATCTGTGTTGAAAAATTAGAATGCTTTAATAGTTTTGCTAGTCAATGCTTTAAAGTACAAAATTTTTATGACGAAATAATATCGAGAAATGTTATATCCGAATACGAACTCTCACTTTTAAAAAGCGAATTCAAGATAATAAACAGCAAACATGTAAGTTTTATTACTTATATCAGTTTATTATATACATAAGCACATAGTGGATATTTAATATTTATTGTATATTTTCAAGTATACTTCATCAGATGTTACACCGCTGCAAGAAATTAAAACAATATTGGAGGACAACAAGAACTTGAGTGGAGATTTGGATTACAATACAATAATAAAAACAGAAAATGAAAGTAACTCGAATGACAAATTTTATTCACCACCTATAGAAGAAAAACGAAAAAGTACGGATAATTCTACTAGTTATTTTATATCAAAACTTTTTTTTACTACTCTTATTAACATTATTATATTTTGCAATATTTAAAAATTTGTGTATCGATTTCTTTGTAGTTTCATTGCATCCAAATTTTGCTCAAAAATATATTGTGTGCTTCCTATATATTTTCAGGAGGAAGGCCGCGACGAAAACAAAGTAAAATTGGAACGCAAAGAATATCTAGGAAACGTCTAATATCTCATGATTTTAGTTCCGAAAACTCTGATGGCGAACATTATACTGAATCTGATGTAGTGTACACTCCTGATGAGGACAGAATAGACAACTCTTATAAGGAAAATGATCAATATGAAAATGAAAATAATATTGATTCAGAAACGAAATTTTCTCAGTACAAGTACGTTACTGTTGTCATGTTATTTTAAATATATTGTTATAAGAAAAGCTTAGGTTCAAAAATTAAATGAAACATTAAACATTACAAATTTATTCTGAAAAAAAATATATATATATATATATATATATATATCATACTTTGTGTTCAAAATATTGATAATTCAAATTATACTTCAAATTCAAATATATATTATATAGTAATATGAGTACCTGCAATGAGAAAGAAATTTCATAAGCAGACAGACTTTGGCATAATTTTATGACCGTTAACAACTCTACTTTTTTCGAATTGAGCTTATATAATTTTCTTTGTTACTATAGATTTAACTGTTAGTAGAAGTTCAATTTTTAAATATATTTTACATAAAAAGTTAAATTAAAGCAATGTCGTTGTTTAAATTTGGATGATCAGTAAAATATGCATATTTTAGTATATATTGCTTCGAGATTTGTCATAAACTTAAATTCATTTATTTTTGTTCTTTCAGGTGTGCAGAATGTGAAGAAATTTTTAATAAAAAGAGCCATCTAGCCGAACACATAAAAACGCACACATCTAAAGAAAAATATCCATATATTTGTTACCACTGTGGATCTCAGCACAGTACAGAAGTTAAATTAAAACGACATGAAATTGCTCACATACCGCAGGAAGAAAGGCAGATTTATCCGTGCCCTCATTGTGATAAAAGGTAAATGAAAGGTTCATCACAAGAATATAAACAGTTATGTATTATATGATGTAAATATTAACTCATTCAAGAACTAGGCTTAAATAAAATATTAATTCATATCATATCATCAATTAATATACTTATGAAAAACGTATTTACATATAAAGATATTAAAATGAGTGTATTCATTTTCCTAAGTGAATATTGAATGTTGTAGATCACCTATTACACTTACAAATATATTCAATAAGACATCCTGTAGTGCCTGTATTTTAAACTTTTATAATCATTAGATTCCGCAAACTTGTTTCATCATGCTTAATTAGGTCAATTTTATTATAATAGTTATACTTTACTCTACTGCTAGTATATTTCCACATAAAATTTAGTGTTTTGTACATCTGTTACAACTTCTTTAATATAAAATATTTTTTATATTATTTTCATAGGTAGTAATAAAAAAGTTATAAAACAATGTAGCCTGTACAAGTCAGAATAATTATAAACAAATAGAAGTACGTAAGTTTAATAACTGCTGTTTTTGTTGCATTTCAGGTTTATGAAACCGCAGGCAGTCGATGTCCATATCAAGTCAGTGCATTTGCAAGAGCGACCGTTTGTGTGCCATCAGTGTGGAAGAGCATTCAGTTCCAAAGGAACCCTTAATGAGCACTTATTGATACATACCGATGTTACGCCCTTTGTTTGCGATTGCGGTAAAAGGTATAAATTTTATTTATTAATAGAAGATTTTTCAAAAATTTATTGTGTCACCATATATCAAATATTAGCAGTATTTGGATATTATACTTAAGTATATAAGTTGACATAATAATTAAAAACAAATGAGGCAGTTGTAACATAATTTATATATAGATATATAAAATTTATTTGTGCTAGCTTTAGAAAGAATTATTGGCAGCATTACTTGAATCTTAATCATTTTTTCAGATTTAAAACAATTCATCGGCTGAAACTACATACTGATACACACCGAGACACGCAATACGAATGCCCTGTTTGTTTTTTGCAGTTAAATACCAAACGAACGTTAAGACAACATTTAGTGATTCACAAAGAAATCAGAGCGTATACTTGCAAGATTTGTCAGAAATCTTTTAAACGATACAAAGGTTTAAAGGTATTTGATATCATTCTAAAATTTTATTTTCTTATTCTTAGATTAATATCTGATATTCCAAAAAATAAGTAACATAAAACGTCTAACTATAATTGCGCCCCGCGCTTGAGCAATTCTAATCAGAATCTATGCCTTTCATGCATATGTAGGTTCCGTGCATTTCCGTGTTCAGTGTATAGCAACTGATTACAGTTGTCATCCACACTTAAAAAAATCAAACATATTTAGAACCGGAAATAGATCAAATGAAAAGTATTAAACAAATTAATTTAATTTATATAATTACAGATATCATAAGTATGTTTGAAAGACATATATAGAAATCACATTGATTAATTTTTAGTGAAAGCAAAAACTTTATTTTCAAAATAAACAGTCGAACATTTTGTCTAAATAGCTGAATATTATTTCTTATTGATTAAGTTGATTATGTATAAGTATAGGGAAGTAAATGCAACTAGTTTTAAGGCAAAATGCTATTTACAATTACTTTATTAATCTAATTAACGAATGATCAAATGCTCATTATCTATTACTATTTTCAGACTCATGAAATTCTCCACTCGGGAAGAAGACCATACACCTGTCCCTTTTGCGATCGTACATTCACAAATGGATCGAATTGCCGATCGCACAAGCGCAGAATGCATCCCAAAGAATTGGCCGAATATGAAAAGGCTCTCCAGAATACTAATGAAGACATTGGCAATCAAGATTCCGAGTCGAAAATTATAGTAAACCCTGGAATTGCACAAGGTAATGTAATAATAATAGAAGAAGCGTTATACCCAAAGGCACATTCTTGGTATATTTACTTCACTTTAATTTTACACATTTTACTGCTAATATCATCTAATTGAAGTAAAATCAAACTTTTGTTTTTAAAGAGTTTTCAGTAGTAGTAAAATGAAATGAAATGAATTCTAGAGATTTTCCATTTGAAACGTGAAATTGTTTGAAATGCTAAATATTATTCAATTTTTACAGGTTTACATGATCAAGATGCAAATGTGAATATGGCTCAAGATAACAATGTATCAATTTCTGATCTATCACATAGTAGTATACCAAAGTTTACCTTTGAAGATATCCCACGAGAAAATATTACCCAGGAAGGTAATATTTCTTAAAACAGATAATAAAATTATATACAAACTATTAGTTAAAAAATCAATTAAAACCGAAAATGAATTATTATCAATGATACAGTCAAAGGACAGAGCACTCATATTTGAAAAACTTGTGTTGTTTTTTACCTAGCAATAAGATTTACATTTTCTAGCATTGAATTGCTTACAGGAATTGATCACTTATATGTTAAAATATAAATGTTAGTATGTGATGCTAAAAACTTTATAGAAACATTCAAATGCAACAATATTATTTATTATGATGAAGTAATGATTTGGAAACTCAACATGTTTCAATCCGGGCAACATGTAAAGCTAGTATTATGACTGCCTCATGGTAAGCCTCGAGAAAACAAAAGCTGCTAAAACAAGCCATTAATGCCATAAAAGATAAATGAAAAATAACAATAATAATAATAATTCTAATATTTAGAGATGTATATTTTAGTGCAGAACTTATATGTAATGTATATAGTTAAATACCTTTTACGGCTGATGTGCCAAATGTGAGACTTGAAATAATTGGTCTTAAGTAAATGATAAGATAAATGAAAAATTAAATATAATGATAATAATGAATATGAAATTATAAAATTATGATATAATTTTCAAGTCTAAATGAGTCAGATCACAATCAGTAGTCAAAAGCATTAATTTAATCTCCATTAATATGATAAAACTGTATAAAATGGTTATTTTTAAATTTTGATTATATAGTAATTGGTAATAATAAAACCATAAATTCAAGCATTTATAACTCAGTCATCATTTATTGATTTCAAAGCTATTGATAAATGAAAATGTGGTAAAATGCTTGATGTAGTGATCTGATAAAAGCTATTAAATAAATCAAATTGCGTCAGGAGTAATGTTTTTGAAACAGGGTAATTTGTGATAAAAGAATGAATGAAGTAAAAGTTAAAAACAATACTCAAATAAATATGCAATATAATAAAATATCAACTACGAGTAAATTATTTTATGAACAATATGTTGAATCAAGTGTAACATAGTAAAAATAAAAATAGTAAATGTAACATTATATGTAATTAATGTTTCATAAAGTAATACTTAAACTACTTTTAATAATAAAATATATAATGGAGCATCTGCCTTTATAACTTTGCCAAGTTGTATATTGAGTCTTATTAAGAATTGCATATAACTAATATTTCCAGTAAACAGTTTACATTAAAATTCACTAATATTATTTCGATGTCATAAATTTGAAAAACTGCCTTGCATAGAATGAGTTTCAGTTTAACGTTTTATATACATTCAATTAGCAGTGAAAATGTCAATCACATATTGCAAAATTGCAATCAAATATGGTATAATAAACTTAATTTGCCAGAAAAAAATACTCACAAAGCTAAAGCTAATGTTTGCTACATTACATCATAAAAATATGTTCGGATTATTTTTAAAATAAAATGTTAATTTGTTTAGCACAAACTATACCTTAAATGAATGAAGTACAAGTTTAACATTAAATTAGTGGATTTTTTAATACTGATTACTAGTAACAAACGAGAAACACATGAGTTTCTTGTTAATTAAATTACCTCTATTAATTTTCACTTTATTGTTCATGTACATATGTATGTATAAATGTGTAACTGTTTATGAAATAAACAAATTTATAGTGAGAATATAGTTCAGAAATTCGTTTGTTTTCGAATAGTTTGTCAAGAGCAGGAGGCTTAGTGTGCCTTAACAAAAAAAAAAAAAAAAATTAATCATCATCTATTTGTGATCTGCCTTTTTTCAATGTGTTCAATACTTTTTAAACAAATAATATGTTTACAAAAACAATAGTATATCGCATTGCGTATAGACTATATATCGAAGCGCGTAAGCGCCGCGTCTTATGGAACCCATAGAAATGTGAACAAAATTTGTTGCTATTATTTAAATCTCTATAAAATATCTAATAATTTTGATGACGTGCATATATCTAATGATCATTTTGACAGCCAATGGCATTTTTTTTACTTTTTTCATTGGTTCTCCAAAACCGCTGGATCTGCTTTCCCACAAATTTGAACAGCACGAATTCGTTTCGTCAATACAAATTAAGTGTTTTTAAAACACTATCTCAAAAACTGAATTACCATTTTTGGCACTTTTTGCCCCGTATCTTCCAAACTGCTGGACTCGCCTTTGCCAAAAACTAATCATAGCGCGTCTCCTTACCAATGCGAATCAAATTGTTTGTGAATTATTCAAATCCGTTGATCCGTGTTCCTGAAATCGTCAACGAAATTTTGTATCCGCACACATTCATTTGTTTTAAGGTATGCCAAAATGTTCAGAAACCTTCGAAATGTAAAGATACGCTAAAATTTTTACTTTTGATTTTTTTGCAATTATTATAACTCACGGGAAGATAACAATATTTTTCTATCAGATTCTGAGATAGAGAACTTTATTCGGGCTGTTAAAAAAAATACGTAGTCTTGGTCGATATTTTCCCTCATATCGAATGAGATGCTGTGCTGATTACCCAGCCAAATAAATGCTCTTATCTATAAGCAAATGCTTGTAATCAATGATATTTTTAAATGCTTATATCTTTTTTAAATCATGTGATACTTATCTAAGTATTTAATATACATAAATATTGTTTGACATATTGTTTAATTGTAAAAAATTATTAAAGTTTAGACACCGTGCAATTGGTTTCCGAGCCTATAAGACCGGTTGCAATAATATTAATGAGCAATTATCAGTCATTCTGAGTAAAATAGTCGTCGAGATACATTTTTTTTTAATTAATAGTATCTGGTAAAGTATAGACAAACAAAATTTGGCATTAGTTTTATTGCGTACCAAAATAAAACAAAACATTTTGTTCGGAATTTCGAAATCTACATTTTTTGAAAATATCAATGTAAGATCAGTGTGTTTTTTCCTAATGTGTATTTACAAATTAAATTTTCTTTTTCATTACTGAGTTACATTACTTTTATTCCTTTTAGACATTTTTCTGAAAATTTATTTCTTGTTTATATATTATTTCCTTTATTATCAACTTATTTTTTTGACTTGTTACTATTTCTTAAAAAAATTCTTTGCATTATATTCTGTTCTTCATTATTGAAAGCAACATAACGATTTCACATTATCTGATTATTTTTAAAATAAATATTTTTTCAATTTTATTTATGTCTTTTTATTTTACATTACATTGCACACGGTGTGCAAAATTGCTTACGAATTGGTTGATTTCCATAGTAAACATGTTTTTTTATTAAAAATGAACAATATAAACAAAAAAAATTCGCTGCTGGGACCGCGTTCGAAAAAAAATCGCCGTCTCGAATGGGTTAAGCACTTGTTCCTTTTTCATTCAATGATTTATAATACTTAAATTGTGTGTCAAAAATAACGGTTTTTTCTGTTAGTTCTGTCCGTTGGTGGAATAAAATAAGATACATTTTTTCTTTCGCCAAGTAATTAATTGCCATTATTATTGCCGCGTGAGGCCAATTTGATAATTCCATTTTTGATGCGAAAAATTGAACCAGTGCTTGTTTAAACAATTGTCATCTTCTCCATTTTTTAAATTTGTGGCCATCATAATTTTTTTAAGGAAAATAATAAATAATATTTAGTGGTTGTAAGTAATACATTTTTGATCTCAATCAGTTATCATCCGGTTCAGAAAGACCTCTATTTTTGTTCCGAACATATACTTATTTATCCGAGTTTATACTTATTTATCTATGGTTCCGAGCAAGCAAAGATGAGAATATAACAGCTCGATCATCCAAATTTTACAGACTCTTTCATGCGGCATCCTATTAATTGAATACTTCCACAGCAACCCTATCATTCGAATATGGTCAGACGGTTCTGTTGAGTTGAATCAAGTTTTTCTGTGATTTCAGACGTTGTCAGAAAAGGATCTTGATCCAACATTACCTTAGCAACATCATCGTCGATCAAAGATTGAAATCGTCTGTTTCAATTTTTTCCACTATCTTTTGCAAATCTTATCAAAAACTGTACCTTCACCAAACCTTTCAATAAATTTCTACATGCTTCTATAGCATTGATTCCTTGTTAAAATTCGTATAATATGCAAGGTCGTAAACGAACTTTATCAATCGCCCAAGTTATAGATAACTATATTATAATATAGTTCCACACTTAAGACTAATGTGAATCAATTCTATTATAGCTTATTTTCTACGACAATATGATGTATACATTAAGCTGTCACGTATCAAGAGCTGATCACGCAATAAATATAAAACATGCAAAGAACGTGGCGAAGAAGACATAATTTTGGACATAACTTTCCGGTAGACCTAATATCCTAATATATTATTTCAAAGCTAAACACTAAATCGTTGAAGAATTAAAATTAATTTTTAATTCATATTAAAAATTACAATTAAAATGGGAGATATAGAAAGATGAAGTACGAACTTTGCTCGGTTACCTCCAACCAGCTTCCATTTCCAGTATTTTGGCCGGAGCCGGTCCATCACTCGTTCAGCAAATTTGTTTATTTTTTTTTTTCACACCATTTATTTTTTACGAATCGAAGTTCAATAACACGCTTAAAATTACACTAAATTAAAATTATGAATATATTATATTCCAATATTGTCTAGGAATTGCACTAACATAACCTCTAATAATGTTTATCCGCTCACCACCAAAGTTGAACAAAGACTACTAATACTATTCATACAAAATATACTTGTTCAAAAATGTGATTTAACTACATCAAGATTGTTATGCGACGTAACAATGAAATTATAGTCTATTTTAAATCAAATGTTAATTTCTATTTATATTAACTTTTTTAAACATTCGGCTTAAAGAGAGTTGTGCTTTTTATTACCGCATATGATACAAATGAGAAGCATCAACAGATTTGATAAATTTCACAGAAATGTGTTATAACACTATAAAAAATGTTACAAAATCAGTTGTGCAAAAAACAAATTTTAATTGAAGCATTCATGCAACTTTCATACAAACATTACTTAGTGTATAGCTTATTTTTGTAGGATTGATACTACTTATTTCCATTCACATACATTGGATATATTGAACACATACTACCGAATACCAATATCAATAATATGGCAGAACTTATGTACATTAGGGCGGTCCTTACTATGGACATTTCCGAATTTTATTGCTCCCAGGAGCTTAAATGCTTCCAAATTGATAAAAAAAAAAATCTAAGAGTTTTAGCTCCTAATATTAACTTTTAGATAGTGTGCAATTTAATCAATGCTTCGTACGAAAATAGCATGGAAATTTTTTCGAAAATATAAAAAATGTTTAAGCATAACTTAGCAACAAATGATTTAAAAGGGACAATTCATGTAATCTGTTATTGAAAATTCGACGCTATGCAAAACAGACTTTATAATTTACTTTGTAGAGCGTCGAATTTTGAATAAAACTCATTTATTTGTTCACTTATTGCAAGTTATATCTAAAAAACTTCTATAAAATTTTTGAAATTTTCCCATGCTATTTCCATATAAAACTTTGAATTGCAAAGACAATATTAGAAGAGCTAAAACTCAGAATATTTCTTTTTTATCTGTTTGGAAGCATTATAGCCCTTGGGAGGAAGAAAATTTGAAAATGTCCATATTAAGGACCACCCTAATGCACTTATATATACACTATAAGTATTAATTAAACCCAATTAACAAAAACAATGCTTTATTGTTTTAAAATAAGTCAAAACATAATTATATTTAATAATTAAAAGAATGTAAAGCATTTTGAACAGCAGATAAATCTTAAACTTTATTAAATGCTGCTATATCAACACTTTGAACCTGCAAGAATAAAACAAATATAAATTTTTTAGTATCTATGATCGGAATTATAAAGAAATAATATCATACATAGTCTTCAATTTTCTCAAGTTCCTCTTGAAGCCAGTCAATAGAAACTTTATCATCTTCTACAACACAAGAGATTTGTAGTTTATGAATTCCATATGCTAATGGCACAAGTTTAGCAGCTCCCCATAATAATCCATCAGTACTTATTGCACGGACTTGCTTTTCCATTTCTTTCATGTCTGTCTCATCATCCCATGGTTTGACATCTAATATAATGTTTGACTTTGCGATTAATGTGGGCTCTAAAAAATAAAAAAATATAGAATGCGCCGTTTAAAATTAGGTAATAAGACAAAATTACTTTTAGACTTTTTAGCATTATATGCTGCTAATCTTTCTTCCTTTAACTTTGCAATAGCTTCACTCTCTTCCTGCAAGTAAAGATGAAATAAGGTAAGTTAAAATAATAGTATTTAAATTAAAATATATTCAATTTTATTTAAAATACAGACATGATACTATGAGAGGGTCAATAAGAGAATAGTTACGCAATTATATGGATATAAATATGCAGTATACAAGTACTTCCAACTGATTATTTTAACAGAAAAGATGGCTGTTGAATAAATATGATGAAGCATTTTCAGTATGCATTGAAACAAAATAAGCGAAATCAGTACCTCTGAATCTGATCCAAATAGATCGACATCATCATCATCGTCTTTTGCAGGTGCAGCGGGTGTTGCAGGTTTAGCAGGGCAGACAGCAACAAATGGTTCAGATATTCTCATTGAACTGACTTGTGACAATAAACCATCAACAAGTTTTCTCAACTCACTAACCTCTGAATATTGATTTTTATTTTAATTTATGAAGCTTAATAGTTCCAACTCATTTCAAAAACAAACCTGTTCTTAATGCAATATTTTCTTTTTCTATATTTGTCAATCTGCCCAAAACTTCTGTGTTAGGTGCAGAAGCCATCGCTGCAATACCATCCATCTAAATAATTCATAGATTATTGCATGATTGAAACAAATTATATGCAATTTTTTCCTCTGTTCAACTTACACATTCTAATGAATTTTTAATATGTTGCCGAGCTTTAGCTACCTCTCCAGCGAGCGAACATTGGGAACCCTAGTAAACCAGTTTATTAGAAAAACTTAAACTTGGAATAAAGGTTGAAATATCTACCATCATTGTTTCTTAACCCTTTACAGGTAACAAATAACTAATACAAACAGAAGAAGCAAGATATTCATTTCATAAGTTCGTGCAAACAGCTGGCTAATTCAAACTCGAGCATAAATGTAGCAATTCCTAAAATTTATCATGCAAGTTGCGAAATACATTTTTTAGTAATTGATATTTAAAATTCTATTTTTGATGTGCAAATAAAATGACAAATACAGCTGAGTAAGTGGAGATAAGACATTAGTTTAAACATTTTTGAATCAAAAACCTATTTAATAAATATTAAATATTGTCACTGCAAATGAAGTTTGAACTGACTTTCAAATATTTCTGATAACTGTATATTACCACTCATAATTTTGCTTCATTGAACTTCTACAATTGTTTAATCTAAACAAATGAAGTTGTACATTCAGGATAAGATAACACAAGATATATATTACTTCTACAACTACACAATGAGAACAAAAGTTTAGCTAGTATAAAAATATAGAATATTAATAAAAATACCTGCAATACATTTGACTACAAGACAGCAACAAAATAAAGTTTATCAATTCCATAAAAAAGTCGTCATTTTTGAGTATAATTATTAGAAATAATTTTATTTCATATTAAGAAGTTAATATGAACTGTAGTGTTTCCTATAAGATAATTGTAGCCCTACGATTAAGAAACAATGATTTTTTCACAACATTGAAAATATATCAACTTTTACCTCAAGATTGAAATCATAGCAATGTTTCAAATTGCTCTTGTCAATTCGGTTGCAGGTTTCTTTTACTTCTTTTGAAGTAACTGTTATTTGGGAATCAATTTTAGTACAAATGTTAGGAGTCGTAGCTGGAGATTGAGAGGTAGTTTGGGAAGAAGGTTGTTTTGTTTGAACAGGCTCAGAATTCTCAACCAAAGACGAATTCTGATTTCGTTTTTTCTTATTTTTACGGGATTTTGAATTTTGGGTTGGTTTTGAGTTATCAATAGGGATTGTGCAATCTTTTGCACTGGAAGCTGGATTTTTGTTTTTAGTATTATCAAGGTTCACTGGCTTAGGTTGAACAGAAGGAACAGAGGATTTGGTTTTGGGCGACATTTTATCCGATTGAAAATGCAGCTTGAAAAGTAGGCAATAACTTTTATAAATATATGAGAATCTTGCCAAATATTGAGTAACATACCTTGGCCAAACGTTCGTAGTATTGTTTCTCAGCGTCATCGTACTTGTATTTGTCAAGCCATACCTTATCCATAAGAAGTGGGCAAGCCATTGCAAAATTTGGTCTGAAAGGTGAAAATATCGATTAGAGTTTTACACGTGTTAGGTTTTTCGAACTGTAGTAACTAACTAGTTTGTATTATTGAATGATGTATTAAATTACAGACAAACAAAATCTTACATAAGTTATCCAGAATTACTTACGTTTGATTTGTACAACGGAATAATGAAATCAGAAGAAATTCGAGTTGTCAATCGCTCGGAGAGTTCGCTCACGCCGGCAACAAAAATCTGATTGCCCCTTAGATATAAATATATGTTTAACGTAGACGTCGACCTCACGTGTAATACCATAGATGACGCTATAGAGATGTCATGTTTCATTTCATCGTAAACATGCCATGATGCCAACCCAACCATATGTTATAACCTAAAGCCGGCAGCAGACGATACTTGTTTATCTATGCGATACTGTATAATTGCATGATAAATGTGCAACCTGCGACTTGCACATGTATTTTGTAGCGTCTGTGGGATGTTTACGGCGCAACATGATAGACTGGTACAAGCATACTTTTCTTTTATCTATGGGTACAAGCATGAAAACTTTTCGATTATTTTAATCGCGCTCGATAATTTTAATTTTAATTCAAGTCGGCAAGTTAATTCGATGGCCGCGTGTGGCAGCACATGTCCCGTTTTTGTTTTACTTTGTAGCGGATACATAATTCAAATTTATGAAGATATCAACAATTAAAAGTATTTAAATTAGCTCTCTGAACACTTTGAATTCTCTTCTGATGCTGTAAAAATATAAATTAATAAAAAAGATATAATTTCAAGTTATGTATTGACGTTTCTTTGACATTTTTGATATGCTTGCGCAAATACTTGAGCTGTCTGTGCGCACTGTGAAAATACGCTTGAGGTACGCTTGGTTGTGCATTCATTCACTTGCACATGTATACAGTGTTTCTCAAGCCATTGCGACAAATAAGAATTTCAACTACAAACCCGCCTAGTTTGAACCACGTTCGAACACACTAAAGCCCTCGTAAAGGCATTAACGATTGTAAACATTAAGGGATTATGTATGTATATATTATTGAATATATATTCTTGAAATGAATATTTGCTGCCAAATATATATATATATATATATATATATATATATACATACATATATATATATATATATATATATATATATATATACAAAAAACTTTTTAGCAGGCATCCATCAAGATAATAGAAAGAAAACTAAGATATGTTTCTTAAATTAAATTTAATAGCTCCATACGTTTTAAGTTTCTAATTTGACTCTTCTTCAGTTGAAACAAAACTACAAAAAGTGGCAAAAGAGAAATATTTAAATTTAACATAAGATAAATCTAATATAAAAATATATAGTGTAAGAATGAAATGAAATAAAATGTAGAAAACTTACCACACAAGTAATAAACACAAACAAAAACAAGTCAAAACGTCATATCTCGAAGAATGAAATACGAATGCAGTGGAAATAGCAAACATAATCTTCTTTTATCTATAATAGCAAATGTCAACATTTATAAAATTTTAAAGCCCGTAAGTTTTTCTTTCTAATAAGTAAGATTTTTGTTTCTTGTTTTATCAGCATATTTATCACTACCTGAAAAATTAATACATATTTTTGAATATTTTTTTAACTCATCTTCAGTGCGAATATGTATATATAAATAATTTTAAAAATTACAACATTCACAAACACAAATAAAAGAAATCCGTTCCATTAACATTGTGAAAAAAATATTGTTTTAAAAATATAAACTAAATATGAAGAACAATACTTAGATTGTTATTATTTATTGTAGTAATATAACACTTATATTGCTTGATTTTACTTATTCGGGCCAATTCTGCTGTAAAATAGACCAATGTTTTGGCAAGGCTATATTACGCTGCGTTTTTCATATAAAATGGTCAAAATGCTATGTGGTTGCTGTGCAGTCAGGCATTTTAGATTTAAAACTTAATCTAGGAAACGCACAAACGTCAAAATAAATCTGAACATGAATGCATCCTTCTGATATGTCATAATAACATATGACTGAAGTTACATTTTATGTATAAAACTCCTGATCGCACAGCAAATACATATTATTTTGATAGTTTTGAGTATAATTTTATAAGAAAAACGCAGCGTAACATAGCCTTGACAAAACATTAGTTTATTTTGCGGGAGAATTGGCCCGTTAGTTTAATATAATGTCACGTTTAACCTGAAAACAGAAATTTATATGTAAAATAATGATACTAATAAAATGCACATTTTGTAAAATAGTTTTATCAAAAATTATAAATTATTACAATTATTTTACTTACTTTTACTACTATATACATACATTAACATCTAAATAAATACCAAGTTAAAACATAAATCGCATTTTAAAATCATAAACTTAATTTTTGTATTGGCTTATATCTAAGGACGACCAAAAGTAATAATTTATATTATTTGTATTTATATTTACAGTCTTGCATTAGTAAATATGTATTTACCTTCATGTGCTGTTTATTTTTGCCTGCAAAACTAATTTACTTAATTATTCATGAAAATTAACAACTTTCAGCATCTAATAAAGTATGAAATTAATGCATAGTGTATATGCAACTTAGCAAATGTTTGATCTTATAATTTTATCTATACAAGGTTTTATGACCAATAATATAAATTTAAAATATCAGCGAAATCGTGCATAATTAATATATATATATATATATATATATATATACATATATATATATATATATATATATATTGAATACTGTTGAATAGTTATTGCGTTTTCCATTTGTAAAATTTGCATTAATGGCATTTACTTCAGGTAGATCATGAATTGATTCCAGGCGATGATTCTTCGAAATCATTAGAAAAATGCTATGAAGGCAGCGGCAGGGCTAGGCGAAGGCAACTATTGCGAACGCAGATATTAAACATCAAAGCATTCGAAATGTACTGATGATAAATCTGCACATTAGCTAAAAACATAAAATATTTGACTCTTTAAGTTAAGTATCTTATGAAAAATTGTCCATGTTTCCCAATGATTCATGTCTAGTCATAGAGATATTTTAAAAATTCAATAACTTGTCTAAATGTAGACATATTAAAAACCGTGTATATTTATGAGAGATGAGAGATTAGATTTATTTCAGAGTAAGTGAAGTCGATTGCTTTTATTTATGAACTCTGTTAAAACATAATACTCGAAAAAACTATGTGATTTTTTAATTCAACTAGAAAATTTTTTTGCGCTGATTGATTACTGATTATACTGTCCTGTATAATTATCAAATTAGAGGGCTATTTGTAATGGGGGTAAGTATTAACATGCGTTTTTCAATAAGATCTTTAATGATATTGAAATTCATTTTTCAAATGTAATATGAAATTGTTCATCATAAAACTTCGGTTTGCATTGTTATTATTGACTAATTTCAAATTTTATATATGTTATTCCTTTTCAAATTTATCAATCTTTGATAATGTATAACAATTTTTGTGATTGCTAAATTCACATCTGGAATAAGTTGAAACAACATATGACTGAAGTTATATTTTATGTATAAAACTCCTAATCGCATAAGCAATTACATGCCATTTGGGGCTAGTTGTAACATACAAGAATTATATACAGATTAAAGTGAAGAAGATTAAATGGCCCGTATAGTCTGTAAGATGTGGGCATATGAAAATTGTGTTATATGTAACTTGTGTTATATCTTTTATTTGTATTATAATAACAATTGCAGTTACGTTGATTTACGATAAAAAGTTATATTTACTTAGAAAGAATTCAATTTTTTCAAAAGTAAGTGAAAAATAAATTATCAGAGGTATTATAGTTATTTTTTGTCGTTACTATTTTACTTTTTCTAGCAAATTATTAAATATGAAATAATGAACAATAGTTGTGGAATTATTTCTATCTGATTCGGTAAAGAAATTGTTACAGCAACTATCTACAGTTTTTCGTAAAAATATACTCAGTAGATCTATTAATTAAAAAAAAACTGGTACAACCAGCCCCTAGACCTAGCTTCGGTCGACAAGGCCATTTAATAGCAAATACATCAAAATGTTATAAACTTTAATTAAGAAAGATTTATACCGTATCTCGTAATAATGAAAACGTATTTACATTTAAGAAAGAAATATATATTTTTAGTACTTTAGTATTTAGAACAGTCGTTCTGACCCTTCGGAGAGTGTATGGTAAATACTGGTAATGTTAAAGTTAATCGCAAAATTAAATTTGTGGCAACCACTACGCTTCAAATGCCTTATAAGGGCATCACAATTTGAGTCTATAATGTTAAAACAATAAACTCACATTCGTTTCATTCTCAAGCGCCCGTACGAAGTCCTGTAGATATATAATTTTTAATAAGTAATCCTAAACCAGGCGATTGTAAGTATTGCTTGTTTTTCCTTATTCCACTAATAATATCGGCTGCCACATCAGCCCGCGTAAAATGCTTCCATTTGGTTTTTCCTACGGTTTGCTCAGCCACTGCTCGTACTCGAGTCAGACGAACCTGAATATGTAATGCTTTCAAAATATCACAATAAAATTACTGTGTTAAGTTTGAAATTAGATAAAAAATAATGCAAATGTCAGCAGCATATAGAAAATTGATGTGCTAGAATTGCAATGCATATGTTAGAAAAATGTCAAACAGGTGAGAAACGAAGCTGATAAGGTTGGTTTAGTGAGCGCAATAAATAGACGCTAGAATGATTGTATCCAGTTTCTATTTTTGAAGCATTCATGTTAATAGCATGAACTAGAAGTTCAGCTAATGATAAATTTACACACCTGACAATCTGTACGGCGCAATTCCCTTAGTAGCGCCTCCGCTAATTGTTCACCGTCGGGTCGCCTCGCTATTCTGCCAGCCTCAGGTTCTTGAATAGGATAGGCAGACAGCGTGACTAGATGTCCGCTGTCGCGAGATAACATCAGCGGCAAAAACGCCAAAGCTAACTGTAACATTACCTTTTTAATTGATGATTAAAGGATAACAATGACGACATTCGACAAAAAACTACATTTAGTAAACGCATTGTGCCAAAAAAGCAACTGTTACTAGTACGGAATGTGCGTTATATGATTTTTCTAGCGCATGGTGAATGCAAGTCCTGCAGCTTCAGAGTTACGGCGGAAAAGGAGCTGAAGTCAGTCATTTCAGGGTATTCGAGATAAACATATTGAAATATTAAAATTAGTATAGTGTTTTGATACCATATATTCCTTTTTTGAATTCAACGTCAGTAAAAAAGAATTTTCAAAATAGTATACCTTTTACTATCCTTTATAAGTATATCTTTTAAGGGGACGTTTATGTGATTTTTACAAGCATGTTTTAAACTGCCCCCTCTCTCTTTGTGATACTTGTTGATATTTAAAATTAACCCCCCTCTACTCTACCAAAACCCACGTGTACTTTTAGCACCTACAAACAAACGAAATTTTTTCAAAAAAAAATGCACGCGATATTTTAATAGAGACTCTCTGCCCCTTATAATATTTCGTAAATTTTTATCAAACATCTTTATCTTTTAACAACTTTTAACTTTATCAATATTTAGTCTGAGCAAGGGTTGTTTTCGCATTTTAACTGCAAAGGTTAATATGTGTTTAGTTATTTATACTAATTCACATTCTAAAAAAGCTTGAGAATTGCTGGCATATACAACATATTGCAATTATTTGTCACGTACAATTTCTTAATTTAATCTTCTTTCCAAGACTGGTAGTTTTATGCACACAACATGAATAACTATCCATAAACACTTGAATTGCTGATAAATTTTATTATATAACGATATGTGCCGAGTTATTTTTCGCCATTTCCATAAATATCTTAGATTTATATATAAAAATTGCAGAACGTCATTAAAAGAAACATCCGTCATAACAAAAATATCAATAAATGTTTCATAATTGAATTTAAATCACTCTAATTATTTTAAGTTATACTTTTGCTAAGATAATTATTATATAACATACACCTCATTCACCATATTTCACGGATAATTAAATTGCTAGGCGATAATTTGAATAAAATATACAATCAACAATAAATGATAATTTATGCAGAAACCTAAGAAATAAAAAAGAGATGTAACTCGCACATTGTTCCGTACTATTAATTATAATGGTATGAACATTAATGAAATATATTATCACACATTATTAATATATACTAAAAATAAATGTTAAAATTCTTCATTCGCGCAAAACAAATTACGCGCAAAACAAGATACTTTTCAGTATTGTGAATAACGTTTTATCGAATCGATAACTCAAAAATTAAAATAAAGGATAGTTTTATGATTGAGTCAAAACTTTGTTTTATGGGAAAAATATTTCAACAAATATAATCGAAATGAACCAAGTGAATTACAGAAAAATATTTTCACGACTCCATAAAAATGAATGACTTTTACTATGAACTACTTATATCATCTCATACAATTCTTAGGCTGATGTAGTGCTTTCCATGTATGTAACCTTCAAAATAAAAAAAAATACAAATTCTGAATAGCATATTCACAGTACTATTCAGGAACCTCTTGAATGATTCTGAAAACATACTTACACTAAAATGTGACATAAGGTCCTTATTAATAGAATCTATGGTTGCTGCTGCACTTTCTGTTCCATGAGATGAATTTTGTATTAATCCTTCCCCAATGATCAGAAAATCTACACGTTCATATTTTTGGGTTATTTGTGCACAGAGCTGATTTGCGTTAAATGCCTCCTTGGACCATACAAAACTGCTTGTACTCGGATCACCGCCTGCAACATGTTTCTCGCCATATACTATAATTTTACGATACTAATTGCAAAATATGTACACAAAAGATGGAAAATCAAAAGTGAGTATTAAATTATCAATTGATATCACTATTGCCCACCTTAATGAATAATATAAAGCTATAAAGAGCACTTTTGGTTTGTATAATAATATTTGCCAATTTAAGTATACGATACAAAATGAAACAATATATAGGGGAAGTACGGACAAAATGACATGGTGTCTTGTTTTTTAGCGATATTTATTTAATGACATTATAACCAGTTTCATAGTTATACTATTGAATCATTAACTATCAATAACATAGTCGTTTAATTAAGTAGGAACTATATGTAATAACATATTTATTAAGCAAAAAAACAACTAAGTAAAAATATTATTTTGCCCATATTGTACGGACAAAATGGAATATAAGGTAAGGACATACTGAGATACTAATGATCAAAAATAAAGCATTTGGTCCTCTTTAGAAAATTGGTACATGACGCATGATACCAAAAGGAACAAACCATACATCGTAACATTCGTAACCGACCTTTGCCGGGTTTAGAACTGGAAAAGAAGTCTTTATAATAAATGGATCTACTTTTTACCGGTGGATCCTTTAGACAGTTTTTAGAATTTATCAATTTTATTTTTTATTGAACTCGAATGAACTACCCTATAGTTCTTGCAAAATTGTACCATGTTGTCATAGACCTCATAATACATATGTATTTTCTTTATGTTTCCTAAATATACCTAATGAACGGATATCAGCAGCGAGCGCGTCGGCGCATGCTGCTGAATTGTCGACGCAGGCGACCAGGCAGCGGTGCCGGACGGACAGCTCGGTCGCCAAGGTCGCGACCAGCGGATGAGAACAGTTCGTTACCTGCAATTAAAACATTTAGTTAATTCAATTAATTGAACAACAATCAATTTGAACAATACAATATGATATAGTAATACTTTGCTTAACACGAGGTATACGAGTACATCGCATCAAAGTAGAGCGTAATGCGAAACGCTAAACAAAGCTATCTTTAAATGGAAATATTGGGATTAGGGAAAAATAGCTAGGAAATTGGTTAGGTATTAATTTTAAAAAGTATGTTTTTTTTTTAATAAAAATTAAACATACCATTTATTTCTTAAAGTCCAATTTAATACCTTGCAAGAATAACAACGAAATATAAACTAGTGGTGTAAGGCATAGTGCCTTAAGGCAAATTGCTGATACTTTCCGTACCGTAACAAAATGATCGAGGAATATTAAATGTTTTCATATAGATTTTTATAAATATTGTAATATTGTATAATATTTATAAGAATTATATAAACTGAATTATTTTCAATACACAAAAAAATTGAAAAACTAATGGGGCATGGCATCGTGCCTTAAGGCACATTGCTGGAACTTCCCGTACTAATAATTATTTTCTTTTTTTGAACAAAACATTTTCGAAAAAAAACTTTAAAAAAATTAGATTTTTGAGAAACTATACAACTTTGACAAAAATTTACCTTTTTGAAAAAAAGACTTTTTGAAACAAAATGTTTTCTTTATTTTGAAATATTTGGAAATTCTGAACTTTTTTTCAAAGCAATCGTACTGCTTTGACAGCATAGAGACAAAATATCAAAGCGCGTAAGCGCCGCGTTGCCGTCTAACGGATAAACATTGGTACGGAACCGATAGGAATGTAAACAAAATTTATACTTACTGTTAAAATCTCTATAAAATATCAGATAATTTGATGTGCATATGTCTAATGACCATTTTTGACCGCCAAATGGCTTTTTTTTTACTTTTTTCACTAGATCTCCGAAACCGATAGAACTGCCTTCATAAAAATTTAATCAGTTCTTCATCTTGGCAATACAAGTAAAACGTTTTTTGTTACCGTTTGTGGCACTTTATGCCCGTATCTTTGAAACGGCTATACCTGCCTATGCCAAAAACTAATCAGCACGTCTCCTTATTTAGAGCAATCGATTGTTTTTTGAATAATTGAAATCGCTTGATCCGTGTTCCCGAAATCGTCGACGAAAATTTGTATCCGCACACACATCCGCATACATCCATTTTTTTCTAACAATAAGTTATGCTAAAATGTTTAGAAGGTTTTGAAACGTAAAGATATATAAAAATTTTCATTTTCGATTTTTTGCGATTACTATAATTTACCCTACGGGAAGTTAAAAACTAGTAGTGCATGGCATCGTGCTTTAAGGCAAATTACTGGAACTTCCGACCCAAAAATTATTTAAAAAAAAAAACGTAAAATTTTTTTAAAACTTTAAATAAATTAAATTTTTGAGATAAACAAAACCCATACAAAAAAACATACATTGTACGTATTGAAATCTCTATAAAATATCCGATAATTTGATGTGCATATGTCTAATGATCATTTGTAGCGTTTTTTTTTACTTTTTTTTATCAGCCTTTCCAAAAATTTAATCAGTTCTTCCTTTCGTCAATACAAATAAAATATTTTCTGAATCATTCAAATCGGATGCTCTGTTTTCTCAAAAACTGAATTGCAATTTTCGACATTTTTCACCCCGTATTCTCGAAACGGTTGGACCGGCCTTTATCTAAAACTAATCAGCGCGTCTCCCCATCAGTAGGAATCGAATATTGTTTAAACAATTCAGTTCGGTTGATTTCAAAATCGTCGATAAAAAATTGGATCCGCACACACACACACATACATCAATTTTTTCTAACAAGAAGAACCCGCGCATTGCTCGTCTCGGGATTTTGATGAAATTTGGCACAGTTGTAGATTTTATGCCCAAAATGACCATGGTAAATCATTAGAGGCCTATGAAAAGCGGTTTAATTATAAAAGGTATGCCAAAATGCTGACAATGTATCAGAACCTGCAACAGAAAAGATTTTGTTTTCCAGTGAATGCGAAAATCTTTTTATCTAGCATCAATATTGATATATACAAAATTATATAAACTCTATTCATGATAATAAGATCAATTATAAAATTCTATTTATGATTAATAATTAATATATAATTATGATTAATAATTAATAGTTTATCAACACACAAAATGTAAATAAAATTATGTGAATATGTGAATGGCTTAATCGAAAGATCCATAGTCACTTAAATAAATAAATAAAAAGAGTGTGCTATACTAATTCAATACTATTTATTTGTTCGATTGAAAACAATAAACCCCATACCTACTGTAATTGAGTCTGCGAAAAATCTAATTCATTATTGTTATAGAAGAGTATATTCGAATTCCCAGCAAACTTATCTTAAGGAACGATTTCGAGTAGAAATTGGACATTTTTCGTTATAATATTTATACTTTGCATACGAGTATACTTACAAATACTGTAAATGAAACAGAAATATTATTAGATACGGTAACTTTTGAAATAGAGAATTATTTCTACCGTTATTACCGTGTATAAAATGCCGACAGATCTATTGCATGTAATAAGTAAGTATACTTATGATAAATTACACATAAACAATTGTTCATGTGCAATGACGTTTAACATTTAGAGAGCTTTTACATATGAACGGCAATAAGCAAATTGTTAGTATTATTTCAATAATAAACAAAAGCTTCAGTCATTTCATAAAGCAATACAAGCCATTAGCAAGACTTTTAGTCCTTTTTCTTTATTTAATAAAAGAAATATACAGGACAGATTGTTCGGAGATAAAAATGTAAAGTGATCATAAGCGCATTATTTTGAAATTGTAGCAAAGACAATAGTACTGAATATGTAAATTTAAAATAATTTAAATAATTTAAAAACATATAAGTATTTTAAATTGTCATCAGCCAATATTTACAGTTTGACAATGGGTAACTTTACAAATAATTTAAAACAATCGTTAATTTTATATTTTGTTCAATAATTATACTTGAGTTGGCATAGGTAAAAAAATAGGGTTTAAAAAGTCTGCGGGTAAAAAGCTCCACGACCAATATCTCAAAACAAGTAAAATTAAGAATTTTTTAACAAACAATATTTGAAAGTAGAAGGCAAAATATATGTAATCAGCCATCGACTTAAATCAGACAGCAAAAAATTTTTGTTGTTGTTAGCTTTTTTGGTTGTAATCACTGTTGTTTAATAAAAACTAAGTATACATCATTAATTGTTTCAGAAGATGTATTTTATTTTTTTATGTAGATTCGTATAAATGTTTTATTGTAACTTTGATAAAAAGCTTACCAGTGGGTGGGGTTGAATGAAAAGGGGCCAATTAAACCTATACCCGGGCAAAGAGTAAACAATAAAAAACAATTTTCCAGAAATATGTGAATTAATAGTTATTCTAATTCTGTTGATTACTATTT